AGGAATAAAGAATCCATCCTAAATGCCCATATATTTGGCATAATATAAACTACTCATTTGTCCAGATTTCACTTTAATAAAATGTGACTTTTTCTTATCTACCGCATTACAAGAGACGGCTTTCTCATTGCTCTTGGCTAAAGACAGGTGATTGTGTTCCCCAGTGCCTGGCATACGATGCCCCATAGTAACTCAGTCCTCTGTCACCGGTCATCTTTGCCTACCTCATCATTGGTATAGTTCACTTTTGTTTCATCTTTCCTTAAAAGTATGTTCAAAGACTATCTGAAGGAAGTTATCCTTTGCATCTTTCCTAATTTCTCTTTGCATACAGTCAAATTCTGTAAGTTTGAGATGGGCTAATTGGATTTTTCTACACAAATAGTCATGTCACCGACTACAAGTTCATAACACTTTCTGTGTCTCTGCTTAGTCAGTACATTGAGTTACAGGTATGACCAAATCATACTTTGCATTGCAAGAAAAATATTATTCTGTCTTCTGTAAATAGAACAGACTCGAATGATATTTTGCAGTTAGTCAGAAAAAAGTTTACGACGATCTTGTCACTTATAACTTAATCAAATTTAAAACTGAGGGCCGCCACTGGAATTACATGAGAATATACTAACTATATTGTTCTTCATAATCGCGATAGAAACTTTAAGATTAAATGCTTAAAAAACATGGCATAAGGTTGAAATTTTTGTGAGAGCAGCATAAGAATATTAAAAATCAGAGTAGTGATTGTTTTATACTTAGGCTAAGATGATATACACTGTTGTACATAGTGTGTGTATATCTGTATCTTTTCCAATTATTTGTATTGGGGTACACCAATTTACAACAGAAGGAATGTTTTATTTGTATGGTTCACACCTCTCTGTATGACTGTTAGCACACCAATCCTACTACCAAAGCACCACTATCCTTCCACCACAATCCACTGAAACCCCTCTGCCCTTTGCTTTCAGTCCTCACTCTGCCTAGTCATCACAGACTGCATCAGACCCTAGGGGTGTTTTATTTAAATTACCTTTTCAAAGGCTCCCACATTCCTCCCTAGCTACTTGTGGAAATCCTAACCTCCCTTAGAATTCCAGGCCCAAGAATCTTCTCTGGCTTCTGTGATTTCATGCTACCAGCTCCACCCCTCAAGAGGTGTTATTTCTAGAGTGATGAAGGGGTGAAAGGAAAGGGAACTTCACAGCTCAGCTGCAAAGAGCACTACGCCTTATAATTTCAAGTTCAAACCATAGGTCCACTTCTTTAGAGGAGGCCATTTGTCAAGTAAATTTTGCAAGTGATCTTGATTTTCCTATTGTCCAGCTTGAACACTGACCAACCTCTTTGGAGTCAACTATCTTTTGTCTACCACGGTGAGTAGAGCATAGAGATACTGCTTGTTGTTAGTTGGCTTGTACATTCACAGTAACCAATGTCTCTGGGAGATGATTCTAATGTTAGCACTATTCTGAATGTTCGTTTTTGGCATGGAGACATATTGTACAATCAGGTTTATGCCATAGCTTGTAGTATCTTACTGTGATATGCAAAGTATATATTGTAGTTTCAATTCAGTAAAACTGCTCTCCCTAAACACCATGTACTCTGAACTTACGAACTTGCTGTACTAAGTAATGTTTTCAGTATAAGAAATGCTGTAGTTGTTATATGTAAGACTGTAAGACCTGATTTCTGGAAACCGTGGAAACAAATTTTCCTTACCGTAAGCTGTTTACCAGTCACTTAAGATATCATAGTATAAGCTCTCCACTTTCCTTCTGTGCAATAAATGAGGAAACAAATACCCTATAAACTGTTCTTAAGACCCCAGCTCATAATGTTATGAGCTTTGCCTAATTTCAGTGCACTTGTGGGAACAAACTTCCTTTAACACCACCATAAGATTCATTGTGCCAAGGGGCTGGGTGACAGAGGCCAGTAAGGACAATGAAGGGACCATTATGAGAATGATAGTGAGAGATGATTACTCTGTACAAGAACTAGGTGCTGAAATGCACGATAGCATTTTAGTAACATATTGCACGCCACAGTGTCTAAAAGGAAAAAAAGGGAAAGTGTCAGTTATAGAGGCACGTTGGATATACATGAGAGAAACTGGGAACGCTGGTGTAGGGTAGTGGACACTGGTGAAGGCATGGGTGCTTGAACATGACTGAAAGTCATTCATGAACAACTCTGTAACATGATGATTCAATAAATTTTTCTAAAAAAAATTTATCACAATCACAATCACAACCATCCTGTTATTCGTCGATTGCCTCGAGCAGGCCCCAGTAACGTCTCCTTTGTCCAAGCCCTGAGATTTTTTTAAAAGTGCCATATTCAAGGCTCTTTCAGGGTTTGGAGAATGAGACCCATCATTCTTACTGGTGTTTGGCATATTGGGTATGCCACGGGGAGTTTGCCAGACTCTGCCATGTGGGCAGGTTACATTTGGTAGCCTGCCAGTTTGTCCAAAGTAGGAATGAGATAATAAGATGTCGCGCAGCCGCAAATGCGGCCACGTGCTTCTGGGAGCTGGGTTTTATAGTGTCTGAAAAAAATTTAAAAGTGTCTGAAAAAAATTTAAAAGGAATAAAAACTACTGAGAGTGCTTATTAAATGAACTCTGGCTACAATACCTTCCCGCTACGATGGGTAATTCCTGAGTTTACTTGACTGCCCATGGGTCGCCCAGATTTCAAAGAACACATTTCTGGAGAAGCAATGAAAATATTTGCAAAGGAGTGTTTGGATAAGATTGACATTTGAACTGGTGGGCTTTGTAAGGATCTTTACTATCCCAAATGTAGGTGGGCATTATCCAATCCAATGATGCCCCAGATAATAAACTCAGTCAGAGGAGGAATTCCTCCCTCCCCCTCCCCCACGCCCACCAGCATTTTCCTACCTCAGAGTTAGCCTTGGAATCAATCTTATATTGCCCTCACACTGGAATGTAAACAAGTGGCCCACCTGCTTCTTATTCCTCTAGACTGAAACTAAATGACTCCTACAAACTGCCTGAGTCCCAGGTTCCATTTAGGAGATCAAAGAAATTCTCATATCCTCCACAGATGGACAAATCCAATTCCATATAAAATTTCCTTTCCTAACAGAATAAAGGTAAAGGTAAAGGTAAAGGCCCTCCCGTTAATCGTCGATTTTCTCGAGCGGGCCCAGTAATGTCTCCATTGGAGACTTTGTTGTTACTGTGTTTGGCATATCAAATACTCTTGGTAGCTTGCCGGGCTCTCCGAGAGGGGCGGAGGAATCGAACTCGGGTCGGCCATGTTGGCCGCTTGTAAGGCGAACACCCTACCGCTGTGCTGATCCTAACAGAATAATCATTGTAAAAACAATGAAACTGGATTACCCAGCATCCTGCCTTATAGCTTTAAAACTCTGGTCCTTATATCCAGGTGACACTTCTTTGATTCTTCTATGCCATGATACTGCAGCAGAATCAGATTGGGATTTTGTAGTAAAATTTTGTAGATTTTTATGGTCATTTAGGGTATTTTGTTTTTGTTTTGGGGCAACACCCAGCACTGTTCAGGGCTTTTCCCTGGCACTCCATTCAGGAATGATTCCTGACAGTGCTCAGGGGATTATATGGAGTGGAGTGATCAAAACCAGGACAGCTGTGTGCAATGCAAGCATCTTACACTCTATACCATCTTATCAGTTAATACATTTGGGACAGTTTCTGTGATCACCACTGAATAAAGGTAAACTGTGTCACGGGTTTTTCAAAGTTTTTTGCTTCCATAACTTTTTTTTTCTTTCCAGGAATATTATACTATTAGGATTACTGTCCTACTGAAAATCAGTGCCCGAATGTTTTATTATAGAAGTGAGCTCTTGGTTCTTTTTTGAAATCTCTTGCACTTGCATTTTAGTAAAGAGTCAAGAAAATATTCAAATTGTCATTTTCACTAAATCTTTGGGCTCTATTAGTAAATATATCTCAGACAGGATATTAGCTCTTAATAAATTAAAGAGCTTAGTGTTAATTTTTGTGACTATCATGATATGCGGCAGGTTTGCTCTCATTTTATTGAATATGGTTTCAAAAAGCAAATGGTGCCCACTCTCCTCTCCTCCATTTAGTGTTCAGATGTCACACCCGAGATGATGTGCTAGAGTCCAGTTAGCAACAATATGAGATCTTTGCCTTTCAGTGTCTGGTTTCTCCCCTCTTTAATCCACGTCAGTGGAGACAAATCTCATCATGATTCCTAACACAAAACATTGTTAATTACAGATGATTCACAATCAAAATAACTTTTAAAACTTTTATATTAAGGCACTGCAATTTATAAAGTTATTCAGGTTTGAGTTCCAGGTAGAGAATGTTATAACACCAATATCATCACAAAAAAACTTCTTCAAGTAGATGGTTCCACATCACTGCAGATAAAAATAAGGACCTGAGGATGGAGAGAAAAAAATCAATTGGTTAGTTTTTTCTTTAATTGTTGAATAAGCACGCCTGCACAAATGACAGTATGAACGTACTAGTACTACTTCTGAAATACTTCCCCCCTCTCCCCACCTGGCTGAAGTCTCATGAAGAAAGAACAAAATCTTATCATTTGCAGCATTATGGATGGAACTACAGGATATGAGGCTGAGTAATGTCAGTCAGAAAAAAAAAAGTGGATAGATACAGAATGATCTCTGTCATGTGTGGAACTTAAAGAAACACAGCAAGGTAGAAACAAAAATGCCAAAGGCAACAAAACTGAAAAACTGATCCATATTATTAAGTTGGTGGGGGATATGAAGGAGTGTTGAGGTACTTGGGGAGTGAGGGAGGTGGGTACATTGTTGATGGATGAGGTATTGGAATCACGTGCACAAGAAATCATCATTAACAGTATTGTAAATCACAGAATATCAATGAAACATTTTTAAAATAAAAATTCTGAAGAGAGCTGACTTCCCTACCTCCCTCTGCCTGAGCATCTCGTGATGCTCACAGAGTGTGGTTACTCCTGAGCATTGGATGAAGATGGAGCGGGATTCTCAGGGGCAGTGGGATCATCGATCACTGCTGACCCAGTCATGGGTCCACACGGTGAAGGGACCAGTGCTGAAGTCTCTGGCAGAGTGGCGGCAGTGGGCAGAGTGGTGTCAGCGGGCAGAGTGGCGTCAGCGGGCAGAGTGGCATCAGCGGGCAGAGTGACGTCAGCGAGCAGAGTGGCGTCAGCTGGCAGAATGGTGTCAGCAGGTGGAGTGGCATCAGCAGGCAGAGTGGCGTCAGCAGGCAGAGTGGCGTCAGCAGGTGGAGTGGCGTCAGCGGGCAGAGTGGCATCAGCGGGCAGAGTGACGTCAGCGAGCAGAGTGGCGTCAGCTGGCAGAATGGTGTCAGCAGGTGGAGTGGCATCAGCAGGCAGAGTGGTGTCAGTTGGCAGAGTGGCGTCAGTGGTTGCAGGCATACTGCTTTCCAGACCACTAGCTTCACCAATTCCTTGAGCCTGGTCACTTACGATTGTTGAGAAATAGGGATGTTCCATGGCCTCTCTGGCGGTAAGCCTTAACTGAGGGTCATATTGTAGCACCCTATCCAGGAAATCAAAGGCTTCTGGGCTGACAAGGTGATCATTTTCATTGCGGATAAAGTGATGCCAACGAATACGGGAATGCCTGCCCACAATTACTTGGAGATGTTTATTGATCTTGATCCTGTATCTTTTAATGTACTCATAAAAACGGCTTGTTCCTAGAATGGTGACTATCTTCGCCAACTGATCATTATCATCATGACCGCGAAAAAACGGCTCCCTGTGAAAGATCATGCTAGCCAGGATACACCCCAGGCTCCACATGTCCAAACTATAATCATACATCTCATAGTCAACCAGCAGCTCAGGGCCTTTAAAGTATCTTGTAACAACTTGAGTACTATACTCCTCACCAGGATGGTAAAATTCCGACAATCCCCAGTCGATTACCCATAGCTTTCTTTTCTCATGATCAATCATGATGTTTTCGGGTTTGAGATCTCGATGCATAATCCCCATGCTATGACAGTAATCCAAAGCTTTCAGAGTCTCATAGGTGTAAAAGCGTACATCATAGTCGGTAAATATCTGGTACAACTTCTTGTGATGAGTGTTGTTTATATATTCAAATACCAAGCCAGGGGTTCCTGACTCATTATTTTTCACAATGTCTGTCAGAGTTATGATGTTGGGACCACCTCGCAAATTCTCTAAAATCTTTATTTCACGCTTGACTTTCTCCTCTAGGATTGGGCTGAGGAGTTTAACAACAAACTTTTCATTTGTTGTAATTTTGACAGCTTCAAATACTTCACTATAGCTTCCGTGGCCAATTCTTTTTCCCAGATCGTAGTCATCTAGATTCCCCCAATGCACCACATGTGACTCATAATCCCAGTATTTTCTGGGTTGTTGTGCATTAACATCTGCATAAACTCTAGCCCTGCTTGACAAGGGTAGTGACTCGTCAGACATATTGGTAGCTAAAGATAAAGCTGATGGTTGCAGATCTGTAAGTCACAGTGTTTAGAAACACTTTAGATCTTGCTTCAGACTTGTTATCCCCTAAAAGAAAAACTTGAGATAAGCAACTTTTTAATATCTGACTCGCGGAATTAGTCTACTCTTTTACTGTATGTACTAATATTCATTAGGTGGCGTTAAGTCCCTTGCTGTGTCTTGTGGCCTGCTGAGTGCTGTTGGGTGGGACCCCTCTCTGTGGTAGAAGCTGCAGTGGATGCTGCTGCTCTTCCCCCTCCTCTACAGTGTGGCTGCTGCAGAATAAAAGGAGACAACACTGCAGGGAAATCAGCCTCGGAGACCAATTGGAGGCTGGCATTTTTGTTCTACCTTTACTCTGAATCATGTCCACATATTGACAGGGTGTGTGTGAGGAAAAAGCAATTTACCATAAACCTAACGCTCTTGAAAGATACTGCCAATTTACATGAGCTGCGTATGTGTCCATTAAACACATCCCAATCCTTACTACTACTGGCTATAAATTACTGTTGCTTTCTGTGTCTCTGAATCCTAGTGAGTAAAAAATGATTTCCTAAGGTAAAGCAAACCTGAGGTCACTGTGCTCTTCTGTGAGTTAAGATAAAGCATTAGATTAGGGGTTGGAATTGACTAAGCTTACAGTTGCAATGAACATTATGTTATTTTATCATCTTCAAGCCTGTTTTCTGTATCATGTATCTGCTAAATTTTGGAGCATATCCCCTGCTCATCACAGTCGACATTAATATGCTCCCTGTTGATCCTTTTCTACTTAACATTCATGACAGACACAAAAGCCACATATGAAACACCTTGTCCAGTTTACCAACAGTTTGTTCCACCACATGGGTAACTTCATCCATGCTAAAGTCTCTATTAATTTACAGATCAACACTTGCACCACTTCATGCATATGTCCTCTACCAAATATACCGCTTTCAAATTTACCACAAGGATCCAATTTCTCTTATATAAAAAGATCATTAACAGCACTGCATAATTAGAAATTTAAGAACTACATAGAAAATGTGAAAACACCGAAGAATCATGAATACTAAGCAGCTAGGGCATTAAAAAATAATAATTTATGGAGTAAATGCAATGTGGTTGTGGGAACTACATTATTTGATTATTTAACTGTGCATTATTTCAGTTATAAATTATTTCATTTTTTTCTAAACATGTTAATTCTATATTACTTCAGAGATACATAAAGTTTAAATACAAATTGTATATTTCTAGTATTTATATAGCACAGTGGGTAAGGCATTTGCCTTGCACGCGGCCAACATGGCCGACCTGGGTTCAATTCCTCCGCCCCTCTCGGAGAACCCAGCAAGCTACGGAGAGTATCTCACCCGCATGGCAAAGCCTGGTAAGCTCCCCATGATGTATTCAATACGCCAAAAATAGTAATAACAACTCCCACAATTTGTTGTGAGACGCTACTGGGCCCACTCGAGCAAATCAATGAACAACTGGAGGACAGTGCTAGTATTTATATCTGGATAATATTCTGAAAATCACTGTATTCTTATGTATCTAGTACAGTGTCAGTGTCATTCCTTTAAAGGCTGAGTGCTTTCTTTGATATAGGATGTCTGGGTTCAATTTTAGCCCTATTTAGTGCCCCAAGTACTAACGGGAGAAACTCTCTAGCATAGGCCTCTGAGATCCTCGGGGTATGTCCTTCTTCCACCAAATAAACAAGACAAACAAAAGCAGATTTATCCCTTTTGGGTTTTTTTTTGTACCCATGAATGACTGGCAGAGTCTCCTGCCCCCGTGCCTAACTGTCCTCGCTGGGGCCCCTTGGAGGGGAGTGGGTTGAGTTTCCCTCCCCGCCCAGACCAGGGCACCGGCAGCCGAAGACCTCCAGAACCAGCCACCACCATGCTGAGACCACTCTCCGCACACATGAAGGTACCGGTAGAGGAACAAAGGCATGCGGGTCCTGGGGCTGAGATCTCCAAGCCTACTAGGATGGGGGCTGAGCAACCTCCACCCAGATCCTCCAAGTTCCAGTAGGTGGAGGTCACACCTACCCACTGGCCCCCTGGAGCCGTGTAATCCCATCAACGGCCAAGACTCAGAGACCATAAAACCCAGCTCATGGAAGTGTGCAGCCGCATTTGCGGCCGTGCAACATCTTATTATCTCATTCCTACTTTGGACAAACTGGCAGGCTACCAAATGTAACCTGCCCACACGGCAGAGTCTGGCAAACTCCCCATGGCATACCCAATATGCCAAATACCAGTAACAATGATGGGTCTCATTCTCCTAAAGAGTCTGGAATATGGCACTTTCTTAAAAATCTCAGGGCTAGGATGAAGGAGACGTTACTGGGGCCTGCTCAAGGCAATCGACAAATAACAGGATGGTCGTGATCATGATCGTGATGAATGACTATTAAATTGTTTCTGTCTTTGACACCAGCCAAGGATACTGAAAGTACAGGTAATAATTTTGATATTAAACTCAGAGAACATAAAAAAATTGGTGTCTTTAATATGTAGGCACCTATAAAAGTATCTTGTATTCTCTGATTAAATTTTAACCGTATGAATAAATTTATCATTTAACATTATATATTTAAGGTATAAAATATATTTCATTGATAAACCTACATTGTAGTATGGTTGTATTGTGATATTATCCATTAACTACTATGGCATACAAAAAAGGAAAGAATAGAAACATCAACTTTTACTGGGATACCTGTGTAAAACATCCCCTTGACCATACCATGAGCTCTCGGGCCTCTGGGTAGTTTTACTAGAAGGCATAGAGTGAGGGAGTCTGAAAAGGAATTGTCAGAGTGCTCCTGCAAATTTCATTAAATACCTGAGCCAATCAGTCATGGAGGGACAGATGAGGCGCAAATCTGTATATCAAGAGGGTTGGGGCTGGACCAACTGCACAGCAGGTAGGGCATTTGCCTTGCACGCAGCCAACCAAGGTTTGTCCCAGCATCCCATATGGTCCTCCAAGCACCCATGTGCATCGCCGTGTGTGACCCCCCCCCCCCCCCAGAAAAAAGGATATCTGAAAGTTTTCCAGAGTATCATGAACTTGAAGGTAGGAGTGTCAATCAATACTCCTCTTCAGGGCAGAATGCACCATTTAGCATAAATGAAGAAGAGAGTTAATGACAGAAGAGGAAAGTGAAGTAGGATATGGGGAGAAAACCCACAAAAAGAATTCTGAAAAAAAAAAAGAATCCTGAGGTAGATGCTGTAGGCCGCATGAAAAATCAAAGCAAGAACAACTAATTTGCGGTCAGATCTGTGGTTAGCGCATTAGTGGGGCCAATACACAAAAGAGAGTCACCACATAAAAGGAGACTGTATCCTTCTAGGAAATTTGCTGCAGTCTAGCTGCACAGTAATGAATATGGTTCTCCTCAATTCCTAAAGAAGGCCAAATGAGAAACAGGTTAGGGTTGTATGTGTCATTACCACTGTGTGGAGAGAGGAATGACAGAGTCAGGGGAAAGTAGAAGTTTTATGGCTCTGCTTCCAGAAAACATGGGAGAGAAATGTACCCTATAAAGCAGAATGAGGAAGACTTTTGGCAGAAGTCTTGCAGTGGTGATGACCTAAGAAAATCAGAAAAATGAGTGGAAATACAATCTGGAACTGTTAGAAGAAAGGCTGTCAGCTGCATGTTCTTGTGGATCTTCAAGCCAGGCCCTTGGCATTTGATAAAAACGAGATGTTTACAACTGGGAAAGTCAGCAGCAAGGAAGGATTTAAAGGGGTTGATCACAAGATGACAGCCAGAATGGTTGACAAACCTATGAATGGTGCAGAATCTAAGTGGTGCAGGAGTTGCTTTAGGTGCCTAATTTCTGGTATCCATGCAATGTCTGAGTTGCACTCACACGAGATTACTGTATGTCTGGTTGTCACACCTGCTCCTACAAAATCTCAAAAAAGCAGCATCTGGGTTTACTAATATGGACAGTTTATCTATTTCAAAGGAACTGGGGTATGGAACTGAGTAGCAAAACCTCTTCCGCACACAGTGTTGAGATAATTCTATACCCACTGGCAAGAGATGAAACTGGATTTATTTCTCACACCTTACACAAAAGTTCATTGCAGGTTGACTACTAGCCTGGGCATTAATCAGTAATTCATTAAGAACACTGTGAAATAAATTGAAAGCTTCAGACATGCCTCCGGATCCCATGCCAGTCTGTCTCACCTAGGGCCACCCGGAGGGGAGCAGGTGAGTCCTTTCACCTGTCCCAAACAGAGTCCTGGCAGTTGAAAACCTCCAGAACCCAATCGATACCATGCTCATGGCTGATCTCCACAGTGTCGGACGAGCCTCATCTATGAGTGAATCTGCTGAAAAACTCAGATATATGGGATTTGTGACTGAAACCTCCAGGATCACACAGTCAGGAATAGGAAACCTCCCACCATCTCCTTGTTCTTTAAGGAGCCTGGCAGTCATGCCCACAAACTGCTTCTGTCACCATATAAGCTCATTAATGGCCATGATCCAGACTCACAAATAAATCTCAGAAGAGAGCAACAAACTTCAGAGATGCCTCCAGACCCCAAAGTCACCATCCAGTTAAAAAATTAACTCCAGATATTTAAAATTTTAGTATCCTCATACTCTACACCACTGATATACTAAGAGTACCACACCATATTTGATGGGGTGTAAAGGAGAAGGAAACAAATATCGAATACTTAAAAAAGATAAATATATATATACATACATATAAGCAGGACTGGAGCGATAGCACAGTGGTAGGGCGTTTGCCTTGCGCACAGCCAGTCCAGCCAAGCAGGGTTCGATTCCTCCGCCCCTCTCGGAGAGCCCGGCAAGCTACCAAGAGTATTTCGCCCGCACAGCAGAGCCTGGCAAGCTACCCGTGATGTATTCGATATGCCAAACACAGTAACAACAAAGTCTCTAATGGAGACGTTACTGGGCCCGCTTGAGCAAAT